AACGTATAGACCACTTAAGAACATTGATTTAGATCACTTTGACGAAGCTGTAAATGCCATAGTATGGGAATCGCTATTGAGTGAGGATTTAAACAGTACATTGACAGCTTTTAATACACATCTCACAAATTTGTTCGATATCTTTGCTCCGACAAAAACATCTTACATCAAAGAACAGAGTTACCCTTGGATTACACAAACGGTCAAAGAGATGATGAGTTTAAGGGACGATGCTCATGCTAGATATCGTAAAACTAAAGTCGAGAGTCACAAAAACTATTATAAGGATTTAAAAAGCATAGTGAATGTAGCGATCCACAATGAAAAGACTGCATATTTCAAACACAATGTTGGCAAACACTCTAAAAACCCACGTACACTGTGGAAAAGTATTAAGCGTTATGTAGATTTCAACAACAAAAAACATTCGGAACTGCCCGAGAACATTTCAGATCCTGATCATATTAACAGGCATTTTCTGGATCTACCGGTTTCCGTTAAACGAGACTATGCACAATTCCAACAATTTAATGTAAGTCGCTTTAGTAATAGTGTGTTTAATTTGAAGCCGGTGGATGAAACGGTAGTATCGGAGATTATTGGAAACATGAAATCAAATGCACAGGGTGTGGACGGTATTTCATTGAACATGATCTTGCTGACTCTGCCGCGAACCTTGAGCATCATCACTACTATTATCAATATGTCTATCACAAGTTGTACCTTTCCAGACCAATGGAAAGTATCAATTATCAAACCCCTCCATAAAGTAGATCATCCAACAGAGCTCAACGAACTTCGTCCGATTAGCACCTTGCCATTTATGTCAAAAATTTTGGAGAAGGTTGTGTGCGCCCAACTAATAGAATACTTGAACGCGAATAACATTCTGCCAAAAAGACAGTCTGGTTTCAGAACGGGTTTGAGCACGGCAACAGCGCTATTGGATGTCGTTGATGATATACTGGCAGGTCGAGATGCAGACAAAGGTACAATGCTTGTTTTGCTTGACTTCTCTCGCGCGTTCGACACAATCGACACTGATTTGCTTTTGGCCAAACTTAAATATTACGGTTTCAATGATTCTGCTGTTCGTTGGTTTTCAAGTTATCTGTCTGGTCGAAGTCAAATGGTTGAGGTTTTATCTAAGAGTGGCATAAAAAAGTACTCTGCGACTTCTCCTGTTTATCGTGGCGTACCACAAGGATCTATACTTGGGCCTGTACTGTTCATTTTATATACTGCTGACCTACCAAGCTGTGTACTAAACTGTAATCATCACTTATACGCCGACGACTTACAAGTTTATAAATCATTTAAGCCTGTTGAGACTAATCTAGCGGTGAATGCAATTAACAGTGATCTAGATCGCATATTTCAGTGGTCGGTAAAGAACGGTTTGTTACTGAATCCAGTAAAGACTAAACTGATGGTCTTAGGCACTGAAACTCAAATAAAACAAATCAAAGCCCATAAACCTGTGTTGAAAGTAAAGTCTGATGCAATCGAACAAGTAAGTGAGGCTAGAAACTTGGGTGTTTTATTTGATTCTAACTTGAGATTTGAGAAGCATGTAACAGACACTGTCAAACAATGTTTTTATAGGCTAAGAGTGCTATATAAAATACGTAAGTATTTGAGTGTGGAATTGCGAATTCACCTCTGCGAGACACTAATATTGTCTAAATTAAATTACGCAGACACTGTCATTGGAGATTGTCTTTTAACTAGATCAAAAATGCTTATACAGCGAGTTCAGAACGCTTGTGCCAGATACTGTTTTCCAATTCCCCGAAGAGCGCACGTGACACCCTATCTAAATAGAAGTGATATGCTAAATATGGAAAACCGTCGCAAAATGCATTTTGCGAGTTTGTTGTTTGGAGTTATACAATGTAAGCGCCCCATATACTTGTATGAGAAGCTGACTTTCTCTGAGCGTCCTTTGCGGATAACATCTCGTATGAGGTGTCCCGCACATAGAACTAGTGCGTTTCGAGGTAGTTTTCGTTATGCAGCGACCAAATGTTGGAATAACATTCCTCCTCCGATAAGGAACTCCAAAACGGTTTGCACTTTTAAAGTTAAATATAGGAAATATTTATTAGATGTGCAAAACTTGCAATGAACTAACCTGAACCTAGAACACTATGGTTGATTTTGAGCACCATTTCATACGCTGTAAATTTTAATTTAATTTTTTTTTTTTTTTTGGCTTTCATTTTGTTTCGCAATATTTATCCAATTGATTTCAGTAATTTGACATTTGTATTTAAATCTTTTATTCTTAATTTTTATTTAAATTATTATCGATGACCTTAAATGTCATTTAATTTAAGTAGGCTGCTGCTGAAAATCAGTGTCGTGGCACATGTTGCCTCGACATATACTGAGCAGTGACCTGTTTGGTACACAACCTTTATGTAACACAATAAGTTATTTTTGTAATTTGTGCCAAATAAACGTTTTATTATTATTATTATTATTATATAGTTAGGGTCAAATAAATAAACGCAAAAATTACAAACAAGAATTTTAAATAAAATACTTTATTAAGTAAATTAAATAATAAATTCATACATAGACAATAAAACTTAAAAATCCAACGATGAAATAACCAAACGCTCAATAAAAGTCTTTCGAAGGTAGCTCGACAAATTAAACAAAAGTTTTATTCTGACGACGAAGCCTGGAAAGGCTACGAAACGTCAATAAATAAATAAAGTTTCGTGCATTATCCCGTTTAAACTAGTTTTATTTAATATTATTTCTATTTAACCTCTTTTAAAGACAAAATTCATATTATTTTGTTAAAATTCAAAGCACACGCAAGTACCAATTTCAGATCTGTCTATAAAAAATCTTAAGTTCATCATGCTGAGGCAGGGACCTAGTTGGCCTTTTTTCTGTTATTGTATTTGTTTTGTATAATCAATTCTTTTAAGGCTAATAAAATTCTTTCTTAAATTTTCGCATTTTGTGTGCATATCCCCCCCCCCCCCCCCATAAAAGAGCGGCAGAATGATTGGCCACTCCTCTTAGCCGCGTCGGCTGTGTTGCTACTCGTATATGGATGTCAAGTTTTCAATTAGCACAAAACTACTAGCCAAGTGAAGTTTAATATATTTTTGTTTCTGTTTTAGATCTGACCCGTAATGACGAAGTAACCGCGTAACAAATATACAAAAAAATTTACAGTACAATTAAGAACATCTTCTTCTTTGAAGATGGTTGATAAAAGTACATAAAAGTGAGATATTTTTAAGGAACAATCTAAATGCTAGGTACTATGTGATTCCAGCAAGCTGCCTCGTAAGCCTTTCATCATTCCTAAAGTATTCTAAAAATTAAGTAGCCCTTTCTGCTACAGTTCTTCTATTGCTAAATTCAAAAAGAAACATTTATTATATTCACATTAAATAATTTTAATTCAATTCATAAAACTACCATAAAACCGAACGACTATATCTCTCTTAAAATTTGAGTTAATTTCTAGATCAGAGGACCTTTTTGTTAATTATAACCATTCTGGCGTCATCACTTAAATGTAATTGCTTTGAACAATTTTGAAACTTCATCGCAATCCAATAATTCGAAAGAGCCAGTTTTCATTAAGTTAATTGGCAGTGAATGGTACAACTGTTTTTTCAAATACAAAGTTATATATATGGCTTAATGCTGCTTGAGTTAATTTGTTATTTTCCAACGGAAGACCAGTGCTGATGGCATGCTGAGTTGGGACCGATTTCAGACAAAAAAATATGTATATATTGTGTTTAGATATTTTTATTTTTTACGGTTGTTTTGTCTCAAATAAATTCTTCTTTCTTTCTTTCTTATTTCTTTTCTTTGGCAACGTTCTTACTTTTGTTTTTCGTTCGTTTATTCTACACCATAATTATTATTATTGACATTTTGGTTTGGATACCAATATCAAATTATAACGGTTTTCCAACTCGATCAAAAGTTTTCCTTTTGAAACGTAACTTCGAACCCCTTCTTATTTGGATTATGTTTATGAAGACATGTGTCTTCCAATGACTTCGACCGAAAATAAATCCTTTTAACGAACAAGATGTAGCCTACTTCACTTCATAGCCCACATGATATCTTTGATTTAGGTAGATACTGACTAATGTACATATCTTTTCATTTACCACAATATACAAAAAGATCTGGGTTGTAGATATTGTTAGTGTATTGATAAAGTGAGAGAAGGCAAAGAAATACTTTTTTGTTTTTCAAATTACCTTCGATGGATTGTGCTTTGTGAATATTTGTATCTCATTTTAATTTCCTCACCATTAATAATACAGTTTGTTTTAAATAAAACTAGTTTTTACGGGTTAATGCACGAAACTTTATTTATTTATTGATGTTTCGCAGCCTTTACAGGTCTGCATCGTCAGAATAATATTCTGGTTCTGGTAAAAACTAGTTTTATTTAATGAGTGATGTGCGTGAAAACCTAAGAAACAAACAGTTTGTTTTTTTTATACATTGATAGGAACTATTCATATTAAACATGAATTGGCGTTAATCCTGCTACACAGCTTTTGTAAAACTATAGCAGATTTAAAGTTTCATAATTTTATGTACATTGCACTTGTTCCAAATGCTCTTATTTTATATTGGTTTCTATTGGCTCATACCTATATTACATTAGTCCTTCCATCAACGATATAAAACGTATCTACATACTAAAATATTACCTAAATTCATATTTATTTTAATTTATATTTGTAAATAAATGTAAGTCCAAGTGTGATTTTGTAGTATTATACTATACATCATTTAATTTACACTTTTGTTAGTGTTGGTGGCAATTTATTGTAGAATATACATAAAATATATCCAAATCTAAATAATCAAGATTTTTTTATTTTTCCTAGTCTTAATGGTGGTACTATAATCGAACTAAATTATTATTTTTCTGTTTCCCGAACATTTCATATCTTGCGACCTTAAGGGTTAAAAAAAATAATGAAAAGCAAACTAACCTTTAATGAAATCCACCGCCATCTCCAGACCATATGTGTCTTTATCACAGTCGTCAAGTACATGAGCACCAATCGTCACACCAGGGATGAGCTTCAGGTCATTATTGATGATGTCCAATGTATACAGCATCGTTTCCAAAGCTTGCACTCCACCTTGTGGCATCACTGGCCCACAAGTCATGCTGTCCGACCTCTCGTGCACCATCATCAGACCTCCAAGTACTAAATCACCTTCGATGACAGCTTCCCTCTTTATAGGCCAATGGGGATGGTGTTTCTTATCCTTCAACTCGCCAACTTGATCATTGGACATATTAAGCCAATCGTTTTTAACGTCCCTGTAGGAAATGAAGTCTGTACTGATCATGTCCTTGTCGTACACCATTTCTTTGAACGGGTCGAAGAAGGTGTCTTCGAATGGGAGGTCGGGGGTGATCTGGGCGTGTTTGTGCTTGTGCCTGTGGTGGTGCCGTATGTTGGGGTGCTGTTTCTGGTGGTCGTTGTCCCCGGGTCTCATTTCCGTGCGCTGAGCGAGGATGAGCAGCATCGCGGCGACCCACCAGCCGGGCATAGTGTTGGATGTTTCACGCCATCATCTGCGACGAACGCCCTGCCCGTGCGTGTGAACGGAGCGCGTTCATTTTAATCTGAAACAAACAAAAGAGTTTTTGAGTGTCTTTTATTTACCGGTTGACTTAGTGTGCCGCACACAGGCCACACGCCACAGCCACAAACGCCGCCACGAGAAGCTAGAAGCGGCTACTAAAGTGGCTGAAGCGCGCGACAGCGGCCGACTAAGGTAAGGGAGAGAGGAGTGGGGAATCACACGAGTGACGTGTGGCGGCGTTTTGTATCGGCGCATTAAGTGGCCGGTGCGGGACACAAGAAGCGAGCAACGACGATAGCGTGTGGCGGCCACCGGCGTACCGTGTGTGGCGAGTCCATATAAAATGTATGAAAAATACAAGAAATATGCCGGTGGTGGCGTTTTGTGGTTGTGGTCGGTAGCCCGTGTGCGGCGACACTTAAATCCTTTATTGCTATGAGTGATAGATGAAATCAAAGAGGAAATTATTGTTTAAGTACTGATCCTGTTCTTTTATATGTAAAGGAAACTCCCGAAAGTTTCATTTTTTTGCTGGTTACCTAAGTTTTGTATGCATGCAGAGTTGTGCTTACTTATGGACGTCTTAAAAATAAGATGACCGGGTAGCTCCACCAGTATCCCGAATACTAAAACAAAAAATGCGCCTAACGAAAGATTTCATTTTTTTAATGTCATGTCGTGATGTTACACAATCAATCTTGGGGAGTTTATTTCTGTCTACAACCTTAATTAATCAGATGTCGCGCGACAGTTGACACAAACAAATTGATGGAATATTTGTGAAACGAATCGAAAATATTTCACGATTTCGTATTGTATTTATAGACGGACAACATCATCTTTTACATAGATTTCTCAAATCAAGAGAATTCAACGGTATTTTTAGTATCGAGGCATTTGTTTTGATTAATGGGAAGATCGTTAATGCATTATTGTGATCTCTTATCTAATAGACAAGTCCGTCCGTCCGTCCGTGGTGCTGTTTCAGCGGCCAAACCGTAAGAGATAGATATAGAGAATGTTTAAGTTATAAGTTAAGAATAGTTTGATAAGACTACAAACAGGATGTGAGTAACGTAGCACTTCCGGTTTTCGAGAAATCACGTGATTTCTATTTTAAACGAAACCACACAAACTCTCCGAAGTTCTTAATTAATTAAATACATTTTTTTTTTGGTGAACATTTGGTTCACTGGTTTGCTAGTTGATACATAATTTCAAAAAATAACATTCACTTTTGTAAATAAATGCCATAATATATCATTTGCAATCTCGGAAGGTACTAGTTCAATTTGAAAAAAAAAAATATTGTGTTGGATAAGTACATTTGTCGGATTTTGACGGATCTTTTTTCTTTAGAAGTTCTAAAAAAGTCGGCCACAGAAAAAAAACATTGTTTAAGTTGACTCACTATGAAGGGTGTAACAGGGGTGGTGACGGGGCACAGTAAACGAAATTCTATTTAGTCCGTCAGTTAGATGATCAAAAAATAATGGACACGTATTTTTTCTTTGGGCAATCAACCAAAAAATGACAAACTTATAGCGCGTCAAAGTTTGGGAGTAGGTGCTCGTGACGTCACTTTTGAGTGAATTTTCACTTATAAGTGTACTCAAACGTGACGTCATGCGACTTTTTAAATCAATATATCTCTGCAATGTTTATATTATGTGAAAAAGAAAAAATACGTGTCCAATATTTTTTATAATCTACATGATAAACGAAGAAAAAAAAAATTGGCATCATCCCTTGCAAGCATGAAAATATCTGGGGTTGGTTTACCATAATCATGATCAGCTTATAAATATCCCCACTGCTGGGATACAGGCCTTCCCTATGGATGGAATCGGGAGATTGAGCCGCGTGGTGGGCACCACGCGGACCCAGTGCGTATTGGTGGGTCATAAGGACTGCGGATGCAGCTGGGACCAACGGCTTAATGTGGAGATCGCGATAATAAGTTTTCGGTCACCCATCCAACGACCGACCATTGTTAAAGTTGCTTCACTTCCACGATCGCTGGCCGAACGTACTAACCACCTGCGCCATCGCGCTCCTCGATTGATTGGTGTCAACCAATCATTGGGCAGTGATCGGGAATTGATCCAATCCAATAGTGATCTTCTTCTTTGTCGGTATCACTCTTGACAGAGTGGTCGTGGTCATTAATTCAGGTGTTGGTGGCAAGCTTCACAACACGCCGCCACTCATCTCTGATGTCCGCCTTCCTTGTGCATTCGTGTAATGATGATGAGCCATTTACTGCAGCTTTTATTTGGTCAGTCCACCTCATAGGAGATCTTCCTCTTGACCTGGTACCCTCAACCTTTCCCTGGACCACAAGTCGCTCAATAGCCACCTCCCCTCGGCGGCATACGTGACCAAAAAAAGTGAGGATACGAGACTGCACCACAGACGATAAACGCTGCTTGATGCCGAGTTCTCGAAGTATAGACTCGTTGGTACGGAATTCAGTCCACGATACTCCGAGCATTCTCCTCCAGCACCACATCTCTAGGGCGTCTATCTTCTTCTTCTCTACTTCACGCAGGGTCCAATAGTGATAGGCCATCGTAAACAACAGTTTCCGAATATCTCGTGTCTGGTTAATACATTACTGTTGCTTGCACAGGATGTGTACCTGACGCATTCTGGTTTCCTAACATTCCCAGTCCAGACCGGAAAATATGTCCCTTAATATCAAAGCAGAGCTTGGACTATTTGAAGACTAAATAATTTAAAACAACCTTATCTCGGCAACAATAAAACAATAGGGATGATGACTAATTTTTTTTCTTCGTTTATCAGGTAGATTGTCAAAAAGTATTGGACACGTATTTTTTCTTTTTTCACATAATATAAACATTGCAGAGATATATTGATTTGAAAAGTAGCATGACGTCACGTTTGAGTACGCTTATGAGTGAAAATTCACTAAAAAGTGACGTCGCGAGCCCCTACTCCCAAACTTTGACGCGCTATAACTTTGTCATTTTTTGGTTGATTGCCCAAAGAAAAAATACGTGTCCATTATTTTTTGATCATCTAACTAACAGACTAAATAGAATTTCGTTTACTGTACCCCGTCATCACCCCTATTGTGGTCATCACACAAATAAATGATGCCAGTATTTCAATCCTCGACATTTTTACAGCAGAAGGCAAATGCAGTAGCGAGCATGTTGTAGCGACCGGTTGTCAATTAATAATGAAAATAACTTTACCTCTTTACAGGTAACGATGTTTGCTTCTACTTAACAAGACGGTGTCATTACCGTAGCCAAAACGCGGATGTGTTTGCGTAGGCTGGGTGGGTAAAGGTCGTAGCAGACATAACTGCTCGGGAATTGATCGTCGCCGTATCAATTCGAGCCGTTCAGAATTCTTTGTATTATAATCCTAAACGGAATTGGGATCATAACGTGATAGCCTTGCTTCGGAAAAGAATCGGCGAGGCGCTTGTGTTACGGTTTCGATTAGTGTGTATTGAAGTAGGAGTTAAATATAAAGAATCTCTGTTTCCAGTCACCTACAATCTGGGGCTCTTCAAGTCGCGAGTGAATCGGTTTCTTCTAGGCAAGCGCGTACCACCTTAGGCTGCTACGTCGCTCTTCATCAGTCGCGTGGTTGTCAAGCGTAAACCTATTATAATGTAAAAATAAATGGGTGCGTGTACTTATGTAGGCGCGTGAGAAGTTATCCTTCTTTGGCATCGTTTAAAATTAGTTTTTAATTGCATGCAAATAATTAATTACAATAAATTAATAAAAAGTCTGGAAAAGGACACAGTCAATAAAGTTCAGTTTTAATTTGAAAAAATAAATAAATAATCAAAATATTCAATTAAAATCGCTACTGAATATAATTTATTAGAACATATGTGATTTGCACTTGTATGAAACTCGAACACGAATTCCGAATATACAAACTAGAAACATGTGGATAAATATTATAAATATGAATACCTATAACTGTTACTTTATTACAAAAAATAAAGATGTGGTTTTTGGTTCTACTACACCAATGGTCAAGAGATGGCGCTGTAGTCTCCTGAATCGCGCTTTGGTTCCGTTGTTCCAGATTAATAAATACTTTTGATAGGCTTTCACAATGCAGTCGTTAGCACCCACTAAATAGAGATTCTATTTCTATTTTGTTGGTAGATTTTCTTAATGTGCTGTAAACACAAAAGTAACGCATGAAGTTGGTCGCTAAAGCACTTTCACTCTCATCATTTTTTCATAACGCGCCTAAAGAAGTATAACTTCAAAAAAAAAAAAACTGGACTGACTCGATTTGATCACCAAGTTGACATGTCTGATACGACGATAAGAAAGAATATGAGGTCGATAGGAGTCTAAAAATAATACGTAGGTACTTACACACTATACATTTTATTTTATTCAACTTTGTAGTCGAAAACTATTTACTTAAGTGGCATAAAGGCCTTCATAGAAACTTTCACATGTACCCTTAAATTTAATTTTTGATATAAGTTATTCATGTCCTGTTTAAAAACCAGACTTTAAATCATATCTTTGTCAAAATTCTTCGTAATCGAGTCAGGGGTTTTAACGAAATATAAAATAGACAAAGTAAGTATTTTTATATACTGGGTTTTGTCATTGATTTCCCCTTCTCGGGGGACGATCTCATAAGATAAAGCCTGTAAGGGACTAATGGGCATAGGCGTCCCCCCAAGGGTGAGTTTTCATAATCAATCCCCTGCATGAAAGGCAGGGCCAGATCTACCATATGGCTTATTGGGCTTCAGCTCAGGGCCCCGTGGATTCAAGGGCCCCCCAGCTAAGTCAAGTTTAGTCAAAAATACACGATAATGCGAAAGAATCCATAATTTTCTTTTAAATTAAATAGATCGTATAGTTTACAGCCCTGCGAATCCTGTGATTAATTAAACCCATTCTATTCATTAAATTCAAGTCTACTTTCAGGTGTTGGTACTTCGAACTGGCAGTTAAAATGTTCTTCTGCCATTACACATTCATCTCAATCGTGCTCCGCTGTTTCCCTCCCAGACTCTGTTTCTTTCTATCTTGCTAGAATTATTTATAAGTAGGTACCATTATTTATAATTTTTGGAACGAAGTTCCTTACGGCAGGCTTGGAGGGGATAGGGATTTTGCTGCGCGACCGAACTGAAAAAAATGTGATAGTAAAACCGTAAGAAAAAATCCGTGGAAAAAAGTGCGTGGAATAAAACCGTTAAATGAGACGTGCGCAGGCGCGACGAAGTTCCTTACGGCAGGAGAGAGAGCGACGAGGGTGCATCACTGAAATATTGTGATATTACACCAACGCTGAATATGTGTGAAGTTATAGGGAGTGGTAGAGCGACGAGGGTGCATCACTGAAATATTCTGATACTACACCAACAGTGAATATGTGTGAAGTTATAGAGGGTGGTAGAGCGACAAGGGTGCATCACTGAAATATTGTGATATTACACCAACACTGAATATGTGTGAAGTTATAGGGGGTGGTAGAGCGACTAGGGTGCATCACTGAAATATTGTTATATTACACCAACACTGAATATGTGTGAAGTTATAGGAGGTGGCAGAGCGACGGGGGTGCATCACTGG